TGGTTCAGAGTTCTGGTACCATCCCCTGCGCTTGCTTGGTCGAGTAGTATGGGTTGTTGTTGGTGGAACTCCTTACTGCACTTCTACCCGATCCACCATCTTGTTTGTTCTCCCACCAAGCAGTTCTTTTGGAGTACCTCCTCCAGTATCACAATTTGTAATTTACTTTTTGGACTCAGTGGGACTTAAGTTGAGTTATAGGTCTAGGAGTAATAATGGGTGATGATTGCATTTCTAGGAATGTTCTACCTCAAGTTCTGCCCTAAGCAATGTCTCATATATTAGTGGTGGTGGTTTTGTGTCAGGGGGTCAGTTCGGGCACATAACACCCTGCATAGTATTTCTGAGGCTGTGTATCTTTAAGGGAACAGAAAGCCTCATCTTTCTCCAATGGAACTGTTGGTAGTTTTGAACTGCTGGCTTGGAGGTTAAAATCCCGACTTGTAGCCACTATGCTACCAGAGCTCCTTGACGCATACATTAACACCTAGGTTAATCTCATCACCTGGGCTGTCCCTTGTGATAGCTCACACAATGATTTATCATCTTCTCTTGTTCAATCTTATCACCAGAGGCTAAGAAGGCTGGTTCTGTCGGTAGAAATGATTCAAGGGAAGCTAGTGGCTCTTGTACTACTTATGTGGCTCTGTAGGGTAAGTACTGACGTGCTAACCACTGATTCAAAGCCACCTGTTGGTCCAAGAGCACTTCAGGGTCACTATGAGTTGGAACAGACTCAATGGTACTTTACAACTACTGTAATATGCCCCCCTCCTAAGTTTCAGGATCTCATTCTTCCAAAATATTTCTCTCACATTAACATCAGACACCATTTGGAATTGGTTATTAGCTGGTGTTGTAATTTAGCCACTCATGTAATATGTTTCAGGGTTTGATATTCAGCAATATCATTTATGCTACTCCATGAAATAAAGCTTTCTTTCAGGGCACAAGTAGAAACTTTTAGAACTGTTATAGAGATCTTTTGCTGATTTGTGTCTTCTTAGATTGAAGTTGTGTGGCACTTCAGGATAATGCACTGGACTGAAAGTTCAGTTTGATCCCCAAGGTTGGCATTTCAAACCCACCATTTGCTCCTCAGAGACCCTACATAGGGTTGCTATGAGTTGACACTGACTTTGCTGATCTTAACAACAACCACAAAACCCCCATCCTGAGTTTCTCTTTCCTTTAACGCTTGCTCTACTGTAAGTAGAGACAATGAAACAGCTTCTATATACATCTCATCCTGACAAAATTACAGAAAAAAAATTTCTACAAATGGTCACCCACATCCTCTCTACTCTCGAGTACTTGATCTATTGGTAATGGTATTTTGCTACCATAGGCCACAGATTGACAACACACTTGCTGTTTTCCTAGTGGATTCATAGTTAACAGCACCTTTAAAACTAGTCAGACTTGAGAATAAATTCGTTGTTGTTATTAAGTACCATTGAGTCGGTTCCTACTCATAACCCTGTATAAGGTTTCCAAGGGGTGTCTGTTAAGTTTGAACCACCAACCTTTTGGTCCAAACTGACTTTGTGATCCAGTGCATTATCCCACACCACCGCACCGGAGTTAATTTAGAAAACTAATTTTTATAATATTGCTTCTTTAGACCTACTATGGTTACCAAATATCTTAGACTATGTTTTCTAGGGAAGCAAAATCAATGTAACATATACATGTACATAAAAGGAGAAGTTTATATCAAGGAAATGTCGCACACAGTTGTCGAGGTGAGAGAGTCCTAAGTCAGGGTCAAATGAACCATGATTAAACAGGTCAGACAACAGATTTTCACTTGTTCACATAAAAGGCAGGCTGCTGACAACTTCCAGCATTGACAGTTATCAAGAGCAGTCCACTTGCTCTAACTCTAAAGAACCAGAATTCAGAGGTTGAGGAAGATGCAAGATTCAGACTCACAGAGAGGTACCAAGTCTTGCCAGAGTGTACAATATAGTGGAAGGAGGTCACCCTCCCTAGGAAGCTTCCCTTCAGGTTATTGACTGCTCACAGGAGACCACAGCATAAAATTATATTCAGTCTCCTCATGGGGGATTTCTATATCTCAACTGCCAAAACGCTGTTTCCTGGCCCAGTAAAGGTGACACAAAATATTTACAATAAAATTGCTTATATGAAATTCAAATGAAAATAACCTGCTTGTATTGTATTTCTAAATTGCAGTGCCGTCTGCTGGGCATGGTGCACAGCCCTCACATTCAACTTCCACTGCCTGGGAACACATCACAAAATGGTCTGCAGACTAAATAAACCCACACGGTTAAGGACTGAAACTCTGCAGTAAGTAGCAATTATTTTAAAGATAAACATAGCTGTGGATACAGACTTGCAAAGTTGACACTTACTTGAGCCCACATCCATCTGTGACTGGCTGACTCTCATTGGAAGGATGTGGAAGGACCAATACCACTAATCTATTCTTCATAAAGATAAGAGACCTGGAGAGAGCATTTAGGAGGGGGAGGGACTGTTCATTACGTTTTAATATATGGCATCTTATCCATGTATTTCCTATTCAGCATCAGAAAGAAGTAAAGTCACTGTGATGTGTATAAAATGAGACACAAGCTGGCAACTCACTCGTCTGGCACAGCATGTACCAGGTCTAGATGGCATGCCACTCTAGGGTCCTTCATAATTGTTTTAATTACTTTTAAAAATAATATTAAAAATTGACTATATTCATTGGACTATGTTTATTTGCTGATAGAAAATAAGATTTTTAGTATTTTTCTAAATGAGTCCATGAAGTCAAAGAGGCAAGTTGTTGCTACCTGCCATTCAATTGACCCCTAGTTATGATAACACCATGCACAAGGGAATGAATACCTTCCCAGTCCTATGCCATCTGCATGATCAGTAGGAAATCAAACCATTGCCACACATAGGATTTTCACTGACTGATGCTGGAAGTAGATCACCAGGCCTTTCTTCCTAGTCTGTAATAATCAGGAAGTTCTGCTAACATCTCTTTAGCATCATAGCAACACTCAGCTCTCCACTGATAACTGTGTGGTAGCTGCATATGAGGTGCATTAGGGGAGAATCAAAGCTGCATCTACCACATGGAAGGTAAGAGAGCTACCACTGGATAAGTGATGTTGTTTTTGTTATTACTGTTACGTGCCTTAGTGTTGGTTTTGTCATAGGGAGGCTGGATAGGATTGCAGAGGAATGGCTAGTGGCTTTGAACCAATGACCTGGGATTAGAAGTCCGCTGCTTACAATACCACACCAGTTAGGGCTCTGGAAAATCATAATGGGTCCTCTCTGTGATCAAATACAGTATGAATGAAAGAAGCTGAAAATGGGGACAAAGTATATTTACTGTATATACATTTACTGTTTATACATTTTGGACCTGAAACTCAAAGAACAGTGACAGAACTCACATGAGAAACTGCCAGGTGAGGACATTACTGTGGGCACATAGAGCCGGATTCCAAGTCACTATGAGGAGACTGTTGGTGTGGTGGCCATAATCACTAACTTGATGGTGGTGATATTTTCAAGGACATTTCAATATGCCAAAGCATTTAAAGGTACACTTTAACTATGAATTCTCTCATGTATCAATTCTACCTCCATTGTTGTTGTTGTTAAGTGCTGCTAAGTAGACTCCAACTCATAGCTGCCCTGTATAGGATCTCTACAGCTTTTTAAATCTTTTAGGGAGCACAAAGCTCCATCTTTCTCCCACAGAGCACCTGGGAGCTGAAACCCCAGACAATTGTGGTTTGCAGCCCAATGTTTATTATGTGGAGCCACTGTGATCTCAGGCCTCCACACTCCACAAGAAGAGTTCTATAAGAAACGGACAGGTGGGCCGCTGGTGAGGGAGATGAGAGAATCACATTGAGGGCTAAGCAGACAGAGCTCTGGAATCTCTTAGAAAGAGGGAGAGCTGATGATGGAGATACAGGATTCCCTGGTCAAAGGGTTCTGCTGTGGTTGCTGCCGGATAATGCAATTGGATCACAGGGTTAGTTTGGACCACAATGTTGGCAGATCAGACCCACCAGCCTCCCCTCAGAAACCTCATACAAGGTCACTATGGGTTAGAAAACAGTTGAATCACTTAACAACCACAACAAAACCAGTCAGAGGCTGTGTCTGAGATGATCACAGCTGGACCCTGCCACCCCAGCTCCAGGCTTTCATACAAGCAGTTTGTATCCCCATCTGATGGAAATTATGTTTTTTCTGTTTCCAATGAGCCAATTTATCCAGGAAGGGATTGTAGTTAGTGGCAATGGCTCCCTCCCAGGCAGAGTCCTATGGGGTAGTTGGGCCCAGAATGGTAGCAGCTCAAGAATAAGCAGAAGGCCCAGCTGGTATCAAGTAGGCAGCTTCAGTGAATCTCCTCCTGGCAGATGAGAATGGGGTTTTTTGTCTCACTTCCCTGTTGGCCTGGAGCACTGTGTGAGCATTCAGGCTAACATCATAGGAGTGGCAATAATAAACAGCCTCATCCTCAGGCTGCAGCCCAGTGATGGTCAGGGAGCCAGAGCTGCCAGACTTCAAACCTGAGAATCGATCCGGAATCCCTGAAGGTCGGTTGCTATTACCATAGATGAGGAGTTTGGGAGCCGAGTCTGGGAACTGTTGGTACCATAGCACACCATAGCTACCCCCGACGTTGGTGCTGCTTCCGGTACAGGAAATACTGACCCGCTGGCCTGGGTTCCCAGAGACAGAGGGCGTCTGAGTCAGCACAGACTGGGCCCAGGATCCTGGAAGTAGGGGAGACACAGAGATGGTGACTCTGGGTCTAGAGACAGGAAGAGAAAGCAAGGTCCCATGTGTTCCCCCAGGACCTTTCCCAGACTCCAGTGTAGTCACCTGTGCAGTGAACAAGGAGGGTGAGAAGGAGAGGGGTCCAGACCATGGTGAAGATTGGTCCTGAGTCCTGGAGCTGAGCTTCCTCATCCTCCATTGCCCTCTTTATACTCTTGAGAGAAGGGTGGGTCCATTCATGCAAATAAAATCAACACCAGCTTTCAGACCCCAGGCCCAAGGTTAAGCTCCTTCATGTGAAAGTGACCAGGGAGGTGGGTCAGGGTGGGGCAATGTGGGTCCCAGGGGCTTGTGGGAGGTCACAGATGTGTACTTTGAGCCCTGAACTGAGGGCAGCAAACCAGGCCAGGTGGCTACTTCCCAGTTCTAATCATCACCAGCATCCCCAGCCCTCAGAAGTGGGCCATGATCGCCCCATGCTGCCCATACTCTGAATCAGTCATTGTGTGACATGAAGACTAGAGTGTTCAGAGACAACTCCTGCCTCCGGAACTGTCCTTGCTCTGGTGCCAGACCCAGCAGCCTCCCTATTCACTCAGGGCAATACTTTCTCTACCGAGATTCTCAGGGGTGACCGTACTCTGTGACCCCCTTGGCTATTCACTGGGTCATGATGGAGGTGCTTTTTGATACATCATTCTATAGAAAAGTGCATAATATTTTTCAAAACTGTTTCCCAGTGTTCCAATGAGATAAGAGTAGTAGCTTAACCTTTTTCTTAAACTTTTCATTGTGTATTGAGTGAAGGTTTACAGAGCTGTTCATGAGTTTTACATCCAACAAATCATATACTGTGTTTCATGACAATGATTGGCAATCACTTCACATACCCTCAGTTAACAGTATTTACCCTTATTCACTTTAACTCTTGTATTCCTTCCTACTGTGTCTTATGCTACCTCTTCATCTTTCCTTGGGCAACCTCCATCTTTTTTTTAAAGTTTTTATTGTGGATTGAGTGAAAGTTTACAGGGCAGATCATCAGTTTTACATT